CCCCCCCATGGGCCCTCTGACTGGCGACCCCCCCCCCCCCCCGGGCCCCCCGCCCCCAACGTCTCTTGGATCTTCAGGTTTTGGTTTGTAACTCTGCAGATGGACCGGCGCCGGCGCCCTTTACCGGTGTCGTGCTGCGGCTCCAGACTTCCTGTCGACCCTTCGGAGCAGGCCGAGTCCGGACTGGGGTGCGTCCTCCACACAGGCTCCGCCCCCTGACCTCTGACCTCCAGCGCGGGATCGGCCCCAGCCTCCACCTTGAAGTCCCTGGAACAGGAAGTCCAGGTTCAGACCCAAACAGAACCGGACCGCCAGGCTGGGGCCAAAGGGGCGGGGCTTACCTGTCGGACAGGGAGGGGCTGCCCTCTGATTGGAGGATGAAGGTCTGGTTTCCCCGGGATGCCTGCAGCACCTGAACGCCACACAGAGTTCACACACACACAGCTGATGACATCACACACACACAGCTGATGACATCACCCAGGTGTCCAGCCCACCTCCTCCTCCTCCTCTTCATCTCCCAGCAGGCTGTCCAGGCTCTGAGGGTGGAACTCTTCCTCCTCCTCCTCTTCCTCATGGCTCCCGCTGGCGTTCAGGCCGGAGCAGAAGGCCAGCGGGTTCAGAGGCTCCGCCCACCGGCTGCGCACCTGGCTGGGTTCCGCCTCCGATTGGTCGACGGAGGAGGCCTCGGCGTCGGCCTGCAGACAAAACCCGACGTTACAGAATCCACACAGAACCAACCCGGTATCCAGAACCGGTCCGATGCGGTCGGGATCAGAGGGAACCGACCAGCTTCCGGAACCACATGGGCATCTTCCCGTTGGTCTCCAGCAGCAGCGTCTCTGAAAAACAAAGTTTAGTTCATGAATATGGAACCTTTCGAGGCAGATCTCAATAATCCAAATGATCTAAACGATCTAATTAATCTGAATGATTTTCAGTCACCAGCTATGAAACAAACATTTAGTCAAAATCTTCCTGATGCTTCCAGTTATGAATCTCCAGCCCTGATGTAAAGCAGAGAGCCACCATCGTGATAAAACTAAATATTTTAGGAGGTTTTCGTGATGCTGCTCTGCCAGCAGCAGGTTCTGCTGCGTAGAAATATATTCAGTTTGTTTCGTCAACATGACAAAGCGTTCTTGATCCGGTCTCCATTTCTATCTCCTGATCACTGGGGGATATTCGTGTTTTTTAATCCCTCTGTTATTTTTAAAAACTTGTTGGAAATAAATAAATGAAGTTATTCCGCCTCCTGGGTTCTGGTCGATCTGCTCAGACTCACCAGCAGGGGGCTCCGGTCTCCCAGGGGTCTGCTGATCCTCCTCCTCCTCCACCAGAGGCAGCTGGGGGGCGGGGACGGTGATGAAGGTCTCCCTCCTGGAACACAGACAGAGCAGCTGAAGCGGCCGGCGCCCCCTGCTGTCGCCTCTGGGAACGCCACCCACCTGATGCTGGGCTGCCGGGGGCCACTCGGCCCCGGGGCCCGCCTCTTCCTCATGGTGCTGCTCATCTGGGGGTCCAGGCGCCACACAAACACGCAGCTGCAGAACAGCAGACGGTGGTCAGAGAGGGGTCAGAGGTCACGGCCGGACGGGCTGCCGTGTCAGAGGTTACCTGTCTCCAGACGCTGAGATCAGATGTCTGCAGTCCTGGCTGAACCGCATGCAGCTGACCAGCTCTGAGCAACACACAGAGGCCAAAAGGTCAGCAGGAGCCGCCATTGTCTGCAATGAAGTTAGAAGCTATCCTGTTTGGGCACTTTTTCCTTCCACTCAACTTTCTACGAATACACTGAAACCTGTTAGTAATATTGTGGTCATAATCATCTGAATCACTAGAAACTTTTCCGTCACGGTTCCGTCTCTATATGTAAAAAAATACGGAATTTTTTTTAACCATATTCTCATTTTTTAAATATGGAAACCCAGCAAACAAACCAGTTCAGTTATTCTGTGGGATAAAGTAGCAACTACACTTTGAGTAACTTCACTGAATGGATAACATGTTTTAGTCAGAATTGCATCAGTTCATGTTGGAGTGAGACCTCTCGTTCATAGACAAGCTTTGATCGGTGCAGCTCTAGTTTCTAGACCAGGTTGGGCAATCCTGGTCCTGGAGGTCCGGAGTCCTGCAGCTCTTAATGTCTCTCTGGTCCAACACACTTGAATCCAACAGCTGAATCTCCTCCTCAGTGCAGTCAGGTTCTCCAGAATCCTGCTAACGACCTCATTATTTGACTCAGGTGTGTTGAAGTGCATCTTAAAGTTGCAGGAGGCCCTCCAGGCCTGGAGTTGGCCCCCCCCCCCCCCCCCCCCCCCCCCCCCCGACCGAGCACCTGATCGTTTTTTGCTTTCTTCTCTTTCTCCTCCT